GAGCATAGGTCAGTCTGGCGGCCGTAAAGATGTGTAGCATTAGATAGAGTGTTCCTTTATCATGTTTTTGTATAGTAATACCAAGAAGGAAGAGTTCTGGTTTTAGTTCTACCTCTGTTGTTAATATTTCTTCTAACCATTTTTGAACCTTGTTCCAAAAAACACGGGCTTTCGGGCACTCCCACCACATATGATAATAAGATGACATTGTCTTATTGATGGGTCCCAAAGCATGCTAACAGTGTTAGATCAAAAGGCTAGGCAGATGCTATGGGAAATAGATATTTCCTCAAATAGTTAGGTCTTATATCACGAAGAGCTTTAAATCAGCATCTTGAATTGCAACTAGAAGTCTACTGGTAATTAGTGCTGCTCCTGAAGCAGAGTTGTTATGTTGCCCCAATCATTTTCTGTCACTAAACCAGCCACTATATACATTTTACATATAGAATACTGCCTGGAGGGTGGTAGAAGAACTCTCTTGCTTCAACCAGTAACATCTCCCCCCCATCACCATCTGTGAACATGCTACAGCATAGTTTGTTAACAAAACTGCTGGCATGCCTTGCATGAGATCTATAGGATTTTCCACGAGAGATTAAAGTATATTTTTCCCAGCTTATCAGGCAGTGACAAGGGTGTCAGCAACATAGTATAGGGGCTAAAGACACAGTATAGGACCAAAAGACCCAACAACCCGAGAAGAAAAAATAGGAGTCATCTACAACATAAAATGTAAGGACTGTAACTACTACTATGTAAGACAAACAGGCAGAAGACTGGCAGAATGCATCCACGAACACCAACTAGCAGTCAGAAGATCTGATGAAAATTCTTTAATTTCACAATATATAGACAGATTTAACTATAGTTTCAATTGGGAGAATATGACCATCCTAGACCAAGCCAAGTTCAAAAATGCTACCGTCTTTCCCCGAAAATAAGACCTGGTCTTATTTTGGGGGTGGTGTCTCCAAAGAGGCACCAGGTCTTATTTTCAGGGAGGGGGTGTCTTTTCCACTCACCTCGCAGCGGTGGCACTGACAGCCCTGCCCAGCCAGCTCACTTATGGGGCCAAAGGAGCAGCTTCATTCTGCAGCTGAGAATGGAGCTCCAGCCTGCATTTCGCCATCAGAGGCCTTTTCGGAAGGCCTGTGCAGCTGAGAACTAAGCTATGGATTCAGTCCATTCACTCCATAGCTCAGTTCTCGGCTACACAGGCCTTCCAGAAAGGCCTCTGACTGCAAAATATAGGCCGAGCTCCATTCTCAGCTGCAGAATGAAACTGCTCCTTCCGGCGAGGCAAGTGTCGATCCATGAGAGGCCTGGCTACAATGGTAAGCTCCACCCACCCCACCCCCACCCCAGCTTGATTTTTAGGTGTGCATCTCGCCCCAAAACTAGGGCTTATTTTCAGGGTAGGTCTTAATTTCAGGGAAACACGGTAGGCAATTTCCAGAAGCTTGGCACTCTGACAAATCAGCCATCAGTAGACATATACACATTAACAACATGTATAGACTATGCAAAAGAGACTATCACCCAGCCCCAAAAGAAACCAGAAGACCCAAGCACCTCACTGCTAGCAATCAGCACCCAGACACCATAGATTAACTCCAAGGTTAACATCAGATCAACAATCAAGTAAACAATACCCCAATCAAGAGACTGCCAAAGAGCCAACAGTAAATAGTCCAACCAAAGAATGTCTAAGATCACCCCCATCAACACTGACAAGGCATAGAATATAAACTGACAGCAAACTGCACTCCTTACTAGCACTAATGATGTTACCTAGTTTGGGTAGTGAAACCTCTGCAAGAAAACAAGCAAGCTCAGAGAACACCAAGGATCCCTCAGGCTTTATCTGGTGTATCTCATCTGATCAGTTGACCACGCCTTGTGGGACCATTTTAAAGGAAAATTCATTTACGGCTGTCATATCATATGGATTGATTGCCCTAGCTTGGAACAAGAAAATTCAGTTGACGTGTCAAACCAATACACCATCCCACTGCTTCATTGTTTGCCATAGGATGTTTATGACAAAGCATTGCACTTTGCTACTGTATTCCTTCTCATTAGTATTTGATAATGCAAGTAACCATATATATCACAGCTTTAATAAAAAATAAAATAAATTATCTTGAGAGATTGTCATCATATATAGAGTTCTGATTAATTTCAGTAGTGCGTTTCTGAAGAAAAACTTTTTGGGCACCAGAGACCGGTTCCATGGAGAGAGGTTTTTTTCACCGACCGAAGGAGGTATAGATTTACATGTTGCTTGCAGCCCGCACATGGGGCTTCACTAGTTTGCAGACTGGTTTCTGGCATGCTATGGAAAGTTACATTAGACTAGAACAGGGGTGTCAAACTGCCGGCCCGCGGGCCGAATGTGTCATGCCGTAACCATGCCCACCCCATTGTCAGCAATGGAAAAAAAAGTCACGATACATCGCAACGTGTCACATGACATTGCAAGTTTGACACTCTTTGCAATTGATTCTTTTTTGGCATGGGATTTCCCCCCCCTCCCCCCGTACTTTAAAAGCCTACCAAATCTGTTTGATCTGATGTTCAAGTGGAAGAATGCTTCTAACTACATCATCAGTCTCTATTCAAAATTCTATGCAAGTGTATTCAGATGCAGATTCTTTAGGGTTATTCATAAAGCTGCATAAAATTAAAATGCTAATCTGGCCACTCCCATTTCAGTCAACTGGGGATTTGGGAGTGGTAATCACCTTGCCTAGCAAGGTGTCAAAAACTTGATGACTAAAAAAAAAGGAAAAAAGTGATAAAGTACAGGTAGTCCTCGACTTACAACAGTTCGCTTTGTGACTGTTCGAAGTTACAATAGCACTGAAAAAAGTGCCCCCCAGGGCACAGCCGAGCAAGACACCTGCCTGCCCACCCAGCGGCGCTCTTCCTCCTGTCCGAGGTTTTCATTGTTGTGAGCATTTCTGTTGAGGATTGGTAGCGGGGGTGGGGTGGAGGGTGTTTGGTTTTTATTCCCCCCCCGTCTGCTGGGTGGTTGCAGCAGGTTTTGGTCACTTCACATGACCCTGGGACACTGTGACTGTCATAAATATGAATCAGTTACCAAACATCTGAATGTAAATCACAAGACCCTGGAGATGCTGCAACATTCCAGCTGATTGGCGCTTCTTCTGGGCTCAGCAGAAGCACCAGGATCAGCACCGAGCTCCAGCTGGAGCCTGGTGCTGATCCTGGCGCTCCCGCTGAGCCCTGACAGCCCTGCAGCTCCAGCCATCTCTCGCTCAGGCTTGTGCGGTGCTGCCACCGGTTCAGCTCATTCCCCTCCCCCACTACTACTTTTCTAGGATGGTCGCGTACCACCTACCAGGTGCCAATGTACCACAGGAGGTACCCGTACCACTGGTTGAAAAGCCCTGATCTAGAAGAGACAATTTGACGGAAACCGCTCAAAATTCTTTTCGGATGATTATAATGCAGCATGTTTTATGATAATAATGTATTTTTATTTATCTACAGCTTAACCTTTTATAGTTTTCCCTCCTTTAGGTAGAGAAGGAGGACTTGCAGCATAAGCAATTTTCTGAAAAATATGATATGCTGAAGAGAGAACAGGAGGAAACACTGCAAAGTAAGAGTCTGAAAGATGTTTATGGTATTCGTGACATTTCTTCTGTTTCTGACATTTTTTAACAAAGCATCAATGTATGCCGCCCTGTATTATATATAACAAAAGCAGAACTAATAATAATAATCCAGATTAGTGTAAAACGAGTCTGTGGCAAGTCTCTGTCATTAAAGATGAAGGCTGGGAATGAAGTAACTATGGCTCCCCACACCTAGACAGCACCACATTTTATTTATTTATTTAAAACATTTATATACCCACCCCTCTTATAAACAGCTCTTGGCACCTCTCAATCAAAAGTTCAAACAGCATAAAAATCATAGTAAACTCTAAAACTAAACATATTAAAACATCAGTAGAGTCATTGACTGAGCTGGGTGGCCATAGAAATTGAACAAATAAATAAGTAAAAAATAAAAAAACAATAAAAACCTGACACCAAGTCAAACTTCTAATGTGCAGTTACCTATTCTTATCACTTTTGGCAAAAAGCTGGATCTTCAAAGCTTTATGGAGGGCAGAGGCCTATCAGGGTTCAGGGGGGAGGGCTCCTTAGGCTGTCCCAGAAAAGACACCCATCCGATAGCAATATTTAAAGAAAGGGAGTAGGAAATTGCTCACCTTATCTGACCCGGTATGAGGCGTAGATGTCCTTTGGGGCTTCCCAAAGACATTGAGGATCCCTGCCTTGCAACTTAATACTTTGTTTGAATGCCAGACCTTTAGAAGAACAAGCTTCTGTTTACATATACGGTACCTGTTGATAATAATACACATGCTGTTGCTTTTCTTGATGGGCTTAGCTCTGGTGCTCTAACGCTCCTATAGTGAGGTTCCCAAGTTGTCCATTGGATCTACTGCCTCTCAGTGTTTTGCTTTTGGGTCCTACCTGTCACAGATAGTTGCTCTTTATGAACAGCAGAATTCACAAGCCTGTTTCTCCAGTTTTGTGGGAAGGATGCCAAAAGAGGAAAAATAGCTGAGTAACCAAAGCATAGGTAATAACCACAGAAGCTCAGCAAGAAATAGCAGGAAGAATATAACCTTTATGAGCACAATTTTTAACGTCTGAGCACTTATCACCTCTAAAAAAGCTTTAGTCATAATTTTGCTATGAAGAAAGAGATGCCTACAGATTTCTCTAGAAATTGGTGATGCTTGCAGGAGATTTTTTGCTCATCACTGGTATGACATATTCCCAAACCAGTTTGCCATTATTCAGTTCTTGTTCTCTATAGATAGTCCATATTCACTTGAGATGCGCAATACTTTAATAAGTGGCTCATCCTATTTTTTTCAGTGCCTTCTGGCTCTTTGTCCATACAATTTCCGATGCTCAGTTTGCTTACTCCATCTGCCTCCTGTATGTGACTCAAAATGAGTGATTTGTCAATCACTACATCTAAAGAAACCATGAGTACGTCAAAATGGAGCTTGTGCTTTCTCTTGTTTGGACTACCCGTTTGGTCTTTCTCTTGCAGAACTCCAGAAAACACATGATCAAGAGAAGCTGTTCCTAACTGAATCCTACCAAAAAACTCAGGCATCTTTGCAGGTAACAGTCTCTCTGCTTCAGGGAAATAGAAAGGGTCAGGATTCAGTACAGCGGGTCAAGATGGCAGCAAAAAAAAGCTATCCTTACCCCACCCCATCCCCAGCCTAGCTCTAACACAGTGGCAAGTATGAATATGCATATATAAATTGCTACCAGTAAGTAGTCCTCAGTGAACAACCATTTGTTTAGCGACCATTCGAAATTAGGGCAGCACCGAACAAGGAGGTTTACCACCTGTCCTTGAGGTTGCAGCCCTCGCAGTGTCCCTGCAGTCACATGATTGTGATTCAGGCATTTACTGACTCACAGTTATCAGGGTCCCAGCGTCCTGCAGTCACGTGATCGCCATTGGCAAATCTTCACTGCTGGCTTCTGACCAGCAAAGTCAGTGGGGAAGCCAGCAGGAAGTTGCAAATGGCAATCATGTGACATCACACTTAACGATTGTGAGAGATTCACCTAATGACCTCAACTGGAACTGCCAATCATAAAGTTGGCACACCCCATTACCTAGTGATTAGATTTCCCAGCTCTAATTATTGTAGTTAACTGAGGATAATATATGTTTGGGTGCTTTGTGTGTGTAAATGTGATATGAAGATTTGCATTTTTGGAATGATTTGGAAGGAGGGGTGGCATTGGTGCCTCTTACGTTTTGGTGCCCTAGGCCAGTGCATTCCTGGCCATATAGATAGTCCTTGCTTCACCAACTGCCTAAATTAGCAACCATTCAAAGTTATGAAGATAGGAAGAAAACAGCTTTGCAACCAATATTTGCATTTACAATCATTGCAGTAATCCCATGGCCATGTGAACACTATTTGGACACACTGCCACCAATGTTGCATGTCCCATGTCCCATGGTTACATGATCACTATCAGGGTGCCGTCGGCCAGACAGTGTCGGCTGGCGACCCCCAGGGCAAGGGCCTTCTCTGTCGGAGCACCCACCCTCTGGAACGAGCTGCCCCCAGAGATCCGGGTCATTCCGGATCTCCCCTCCTTCCGCCGCGCCCTTAAGACCTGGTTGTTCCAGCGGGCAGGACTGGCCTAGGGGCATTTTAAATTGTTTTTAGCCAAATTTTAATAGAAGCGGCCGATTATATATTTATTTTTAATGATTTTTAAAACCTCTATTGTATTGTATTAACTGTTTTTAACTGGCTGTAAGCCGCCCTGAGTCCTACGGGAGAAGGGCGGGGTATAAATTTAATAAAATGAAATGAAAATGAAATGAAATGAAATTTGCATGCTTCCCAACTCACTTCTGACAAGCAGAGTTAATGGAGAACACAGAAGTAACACTGTAAGTTGCAGTCATGTGATGCATCAATTTTGAACTCTGTTTATAACAAAGTACATGGTTGGCATTCTTGAATGCGTGACAACTGAAAAATCTGTTGCTAAAAATTGAAATATGGCCTCAGAAGGTTATTGTTAATAGCAGAACTGACAAACTGGACAAATCAAATTTTGCCTAAATAACTGTGTAAACTGCTAATGTATTGTTAAATATATTACTTTTGATGCATTCACCTATGACAAAGAAAGGAGCCATCATGCCATTAAAGTTGCCTGTTGGTAATTACAAGACAGAATTCAGTAAATCATAGCGAAGTATAATTGTCTAATAATGATAAAACTTTGATCTCTGTTTTCATCTGCATTGTTCTACCTGGTACCTTCCCAATGTGCCTCCTTACTTTGGTTGGGGGATATAAATTGCATCATTCTAATATATATTGCACTTTGAGGAATTGGTGACACACACATAGGTGTGTGGAGGTAGAAAAGTATTATTGCTATTCTATTGTTGTTTGGAAACACCAACATCCTAATTAATGGCCTATGGACTCTTCCAGAGTCTTCTGCTCATAATAAAAGAGAAACTGGGAGGTCTTGTGACATCACAACAATGGATGGATGATGCTATAATATCATTGGTAGAGAAATGTCCCAAAACAGTAATGTGTTGGTATAGCATTCCGATTGCTACAGATTCTGTAACAGAAATGGCAAAAGGAAGTTTTGCCCCAAATTATCAAGGTTCTGAGGTTCTGATAAAATAAAAAGAGGTAGCCAGTGCTGAAATCTACTCATTCCAGCACCATGCACTGAGTGTGGAGAGCAGGGAAAATCCAATGAAAGTCATAAAGTAAGACTAATTTGATCTATCTCATCTTTCTGCTCCAGGAGACCATAGACAAGCTGACTTCCCAGCTGAAGTCCTTTCAGGAGAAAATGAAACGGGTAGAAGAGTCAATTCTGAGCAGAGATTATAAAAAGCACATTCAGGTGACTTTACACTGGGTGGGGTGTCTTGATCTGTTTATTTAAAGAGAGTGAATAAGAGAGACTAAAGAGCAGGGTCTTCTGAACATACCAAAACAAAATCACAATAAAAAAATTGATGGAAGGATACTCAAATGCTTTTGCTTTCAGCAGCCATTCTGCACTGCCAGGTCATAAGAACAATTATTTTTCCCAGTTCCTATTGCTGCTTGGTTTAGTGGGCTTTAAACTGTTTACAAATAGTCCTTGAATTGTGGCTAAATAATGTGGCCATAAAGCATAATATCACATGATCATACCACTTAGCAATGGTAAACCCTGCAGGCCTTTTTGCTATTGTCATTAAATAAAAATAGTGGGTTGTTAAGCAAATATTTCTCCCAATTTCCTGCCAGCTTCCCACAAACAAACTCAGCATAGAAGCTGACAGGAAGTTGCAAGACCCAGGTGGCTTGCAAACAGGACAGAGACAGGCAAGTGGATACTACTGGGTGGGAGAAAGAGCAAGGGAGTGTGAGGGTGGCTGGGAAGGGGGTGCAAGCATACACAGATAGAAAAGGACACATAGCAGAGTATGGTGGAGCTTGGGGTGACTGCTACTGGGTAGGGGAGGGTACACAAGGTTGTGCAGATGACCAGGGAGGTGTGGCACAAGCACACAGGCTCAGAAAGGGTGCATAGGTGGGAGAGACTTACCCAAGCAACATACAACCTTCTCTACCAGTTTCCACATGAGTTTGTGGGAAGCCAGCAGGGAAGGTTGCAAATCACAGTCACCTGATTGCAGGATGCTGCAACTGTTGTAAGTGCAAGCCAATTGTCAAGTTCCTAGATTGCAATTACCTGTCTGCAAGGTGTTGGGATGGCCAGAATTTCAAGGAACAATCATAACCACCATTCATGCAGTCCCACTGTATCTTCAAATAGTTGCTGAATGAGTGATCATTAAACAAGGACCCCTGCTCTCATTCTCTCTTGCCAAAGGCTTAGGTCAGGGGTGTCAAACTGCTGGCCCGCAGGCCGGATGCATCATAGCGAAACCGCGCCCATCCCATTGCCAGCAATGGGTAAAAAGTTGATATACGTCAGGACACGTCACGTGATTTGCGGGTTTGACACCCCTGGCTTAGGTGAAGTGGGGATCATCTGGATCTCTGTGGGAATCTCATCCCAGAGGACAAGGTCAGAGACATGCACTTCCAGGGTCCTTATAGATGATAATAAAAGGAAACTGGAAGGTTCTAACCCTGCAGGATTGAATCAGCTGAGCAGATACTGTGGGAAACAGCCAATCCCTCAAGTAACCAGGGCCTATGCTATGTAAGGCTTTATAGGAAGCAACCAGCTCCTTGAATCACACCTGGAAGCAAATTGGCAACTGGTACAGCTTGCAGAGCAAAGGTTTTTTATATGGACCAACCAAGGCATGCCCATTCCTGCTCTGGACTAGTTGAAGCTTAATGTCTTGTTTTGCTAGCTATTTTGACAGCTTATACTAGAAAAAAAAGAACATAGCCCCTACAAACAAATAAATGCATTTCTCCCTTTTTAAAAATAAAAATCTTTAAAGGACTATGGGACCCCCAGCCAGTTCTGGGAGCAAGAACTAGAGAGTCTACATTTTGTCATTGAGATGAAGAATGAACGCATCCACAGCTTGGACAAGAAGCTGCTGAATCTGGAAATAGTGGTGGGTTACTTCTATCAATTCTAAATGTAACTGAAAAGACTAATAAAAGAGCTGTACTGTGCTTAAAGAGAGAGAGAGAGAGTGAGAATCTCCTTTTCTAATTTTGTGCCACTGGATACTGTGGAATAAAAAGATAGGAATATAGACAACTACCTTCCAAATGACCTTTTTTTTCTCAATGACCCAAGTCATCTAATCTCACTATTAAAATGAAGAATGACTTGAGAAAGATGCAATAGGAATGGGCATTTTCACCTGTTTATGTATATGCACTGTTCCCAGTGAACTGTCAGTCCATCAGTTTTCTCTTCCTGGCCATTAGATAAGCATAGAAATATCTCAACCATCAGTAGTCATGTACCATTCCTAAGTAGGGATACCTTACCTCACTCCTCTGATTTGTGGGGAAGTACAACAAAGCCCTTCCTTCTCCAGAATGAGCAAGAAACCACAAGCCTTTTATCAACTGGCCATATTAGGATCCCTTTATGCAAACCTGCCATCCCCTCCTTGCCTTGGGGGAACAGCAGGAGCAGGGAGGCGGAATCTGGTCTCCTCCTACAGCTTCATAGGCTGCCCTTTGCAAGACAAGGCTATGATTCACTTCCACTTTGACAGTGGTACTTGTTTTCATTTTGCACAAAACTTCCCAAGTGCAATAGTAGGAAGGAGGGACCAAGTGACAGGGTAAGCATCGAGTGGTTATGTTGACGAATCACTAGGGGTCTCAGTTCTCTTTGGGAGCAGATCCATGTAGAACTCAAGGTTACAGCACTGATAATACTGAATATGTTTTATTTATACTGGTAAGGATTCTTCAGGGTTATGAAGAGGCATTTTTCAGTCCTAATTGGAGCTGTTGGGAATCGGGAACTATATCTGGAACCTTTGACCTTCCCTACAAATTATGTGCTTTTTCATAAAGTTATATGTTAATATTTGGAGTTGTAATCCAAGACTTTTGGAAGGTGCATTTGAGCATGGAAAATACTTAAACCAGTGATGTTTTCTTCCGTTTTCTACAAAGGGCAAATGATTCCCAATTCTCTACAGATATGAGGGCAGAGATCAGAATTTTATTAGTGCACTTAATCTACAGTTTCCAGGATGCAAATATGTTTAGGATGATCACATTCCCATAAAGTTCTAGGGCTTGCTACTTTGTCTTTGTGTGACTGTGACCTTCTTGCATGGTATACCTTTGTTGTATTTGAGGTTTGCTCACCCTACCTGTATTTTTTTAGATGGAGTCAAACTTATTAGTTGAAGAGAAAATTAAGATTCTACAACAGGAAAATGAAGATCTCCAAGTACGGATGCAGAACCACATGACAGTGACAAGGTCGTGTCTTCACTACAGTGACAATCCTTAAAAGATTTTATTTTATTTATGTGTTAGATTATCTCACCTTTAATACTTTATAAATAACTCAAGGATCCTATTTTCCCCACAACAAAAAAAACCTGTGAAGTGGGTGGGGGCCAAAGAGAGTGTTTGGCCCAAAGTCACTCAGCTAGCTTTTATGCCTAGGGCAGAACTAGAACTCAGTCGCCTAGTTTTTAGTCTGGTTTTTAGTGCTTTAAATCACTAGACCCAAATTAGCTCTCATTCAAAAATGATTCCTGTTTGATCAATTTTCTGTGTCAATGTAATCTGATGACTATGGGAAATGTTTTTATTCGACAAAGTCTCATGGCTATTGCACATAGTAATAATAATAATAATAATAATAATAATAATAATAATAATAATAATAATAATAATAATAATAATAATAATAATAAAGTTGGAAGGGACCTTGGAGGTCATCTAGTCCAACCCCCTGCTCAGGCAGGAAACCCTATACCATTTCAGGCAAATGGCTGTCCAGTTTCTTCTTAAAAACTTCCAGTGTTGGAGCATTCACCATTTCTGGAGGCAGGTTGTTTCACTGGTTAATTGTTCTAACTGTCAGGAAGTTTCTCTTTAGTTCTAGGTTGCTTCTCTCTTTGATTAGTTTCCATCCGTTGCTTCTTGTCCTGCCTTCAGGCGCTTTGGAAAATAGCTTGACTCCCTCTTCTTTGGGGCAGCCCCTGAGATATTGGAACACTGCTATCATGTCCCCCCTCTTCCTTCTCTCCATTAAACTAGACATACCCAATTCCAGCAGCCTTTCCTTATATGCTTGGGCAATGTTTTTTTTTAAAAAAAGATCTTTATTTTTAAGAATGTATTATATATTCTTTTCTCCCCAGTCAGTAATTTCTCCTAGTAAAGTTGAGTGAGTGTTTTGTGGCTTCCATATGTTTTTAAACTGCAATCTTCCGTTATTCCTCCCAACTAATAGACTAACAGGACTCATACAACACTCTAAGCCATAATGGCATTACTCTGGCTTTGTCTTAAAGTGTTTTATGACCCTAGCCGCTATAGTTTGGAAATCATGGTTTATGACTTATAGTGATGTATTCAAGAAATTATGATTAAGGAAATCATAGCCTAGCATCTTGTGCAGACTCAGGCTACATTGATGACAATTGAAGTTCATTAACATTTGAGGAGCCACAAATAACAGTGGAATCTATAGGACTTTCTGACTCTGGAATTAACTGGGATTGCCATTTCTTTTGCCTCGAGGATCTACCTCCAGAAAGCGAGGCTTGTGTTTTGGGGACAATGCAGAGTATCAGCAATTTTAAGGGATCAATTGGGCATCTTAAATATCTTCAAGGAATCAAGAACCGGTTGTGGTAATCCCCAACCCCTCACCAATGCAGAAAACAATAAAAATTATTAGATCCAATTAGAAAGGCTTTGAAGGCCACAAAGCCTTGAAAGCCTGTCTAATTGGAAAGGCTTTAAACATAACGACTAAGCTGTGCAATTAGTACACCTGGTTTATATAGAACACAGGTGTCAAACTCGCCGCATCACATGACGTGTCGCGACGTATCATGATGTTTTTTGCATTGCCGGAGCTGGGGTGGGCGCGGCCTCCGCATGTTGCAACCAGCCCACCGGCCGGCAGTTTGACACCCGTGATAGAGAAGAAGTAGCAAATCCTTGTAATGAAAATTGATGCATACTTCTTTCTTCCTATCTGTACAATGTGGTCTAAGAGCTGTAATCTTTACCATGCTTTAATAGGCAGCTGTCTGATGAGCTTCTGACCATTCGTGAGGCCCTGGAGAAGGAGACCCAGCTGAGGGAGCAAGCTCACCGAGAGAAGGAGGAGCTCTTGTACAGGGTGCTTCATGGCGATTCAGGCCACCCCTTTGCTATTTCTACTGAGACATCACTCATTGCCACATAGCACTTTGAGAGGCCAAAGACACTGATGTGGTATAAAAAACAGAAGAGGGAAGGAGACCACCATGTGACTGTTTCGTCATTGCATTCTACTCCAGAGGTGTTCAGATATTTTTTTATCCCATGGACTAAGGTGGTCTTCAAGGGACATGCCACAGGTCACACTCCTCCCCGACAAATGAGGGCCAACTTAAGAAGTGGGAGCAGAGAATAATATTCACATTAAATGAATTAAATAATTCCCTGATTATTTAAGAATTTTCCATTTCTGCCACATTCATAATTGCAATGTAGAGGGGATCATGCCGAAGGCTGGCAGGGAGGGATTGGGTCCAGGTTGTATACCTCTGTGCTGGCCATGGTGTTTTGACCTAAGGACAATTCTTGTTGGGATTTTCTTTTATGCTCTTATTCTTTGAAATCCTGAAAAATGGGATTTTTCCATCTTCTGTTCAATAGTGGCCAATTTCAGTGCTAATCAGGGAGGTCACCCTTCGGACATTTTGTGGTATATAGCAGTCAGGTCAGGTCTTTCTCTTCTTCTCCCAAGAAATAGTGGAGTTAACTACCTCATATAATAGACCTTGTGAGGGGGTAAAAAAAAATTAGAGAAAAAGGAGTAGGAATTACAAATACATGGCACTTCACAGTCGCACAGAGATACTAGAGTAGATAAAATGAAAGATTTACACTTGATTTCAGCTGATGGAACTAGAGTTAAACCAAAATTCTAAAGCAGTTGGATCTTAAGCCAGTGCTTTGTAAATTTGAACTGATTTGTAACTAAGTTCCCCCATTGCATCTTTTTTCTGCTGTGTCTCCATGATATTTCTTCATCTTGTCCCTGGCTCATGTGTGAATCAAGCTTAAGTCATCCTTAGCTGTGCTGGGATTAAAGCAGTACAATATTTTCACCTTATTCCACTCTGGTCAAGGATGACCTTTCTCGTCTAGTAAAATCAGGAGACTAAATGAGTAGTACTTTAAAACTAGGACAATTGTAAGACTGTCACGATAGAGTTAGGATAGGAATTACCAGTGAGGCAACAACTTTATGATTTTCTACTCATTTAAGGATGGGCGGATAGCACTTAACATAGTAGTGGAGAAAGACCTTAAAGAAGAGGTTCTTAACCTGGGGTGACCGCATCCTCAGGAAGTGTGAGAGGGAATTTCAAGGGATGCAACAAAGTCATAATTACTTTTTTAGGGGGTGCAAATATTGAACATTTGCTGGGGGCATGGAGCATAGAAAAGATTGGGAACCATTGCTTTAATGCAGGGGTAGTCAACCTTGGCTCTTTTATGACTCGTGGACTTCAATTCCCAGAATTCCTGAGCCAGAAGATGTTGAAGTTTTTCCTGCCACATGGGGCTGCTTAGCCTTGATCACCTTTCATGTGGTTAAGAAAAGGTTTTAAAAATTAACTCAGTTATGTGAGCTTGATTGTTCTGGATCTCCCCATTTTCTCTGTTGTTTGAATTATGATCAGTTCCTGCCCACATTCTCTTATTATCTCACTTTCTAGATCAAAAAACTGGTTCTCACAGATTTGGAAGACAGTGGGGAAAAAACATCATTTTAATTCATTTGCTTCCAGAATCAAACTCTTTTGTCTTCTTTGACAGGGTCTCTCTTTGCTGGTTCAAAATTTTGAGAATGGTATATTAGAAAGGTTCTCAAAAATTGAACAGAGATCGAAATTCTTATTGTATGACTGTTTTGTAAAGCTGATAAATGACAATGCCCTCTACTGATTGTAGGGTGGTGCTACAAGTTACATAAAAAAGTGATTGTCAGATTGGAAGAACTGCTATAGACATGTAATAATTTAAATTCAAAGAAATTGGATGTTAAAATGTATTGTTTTAATGAAGAGATTAAATTGGTGTTTATTATAGTTCTAGTGCAATGTAGACACAGAATGAAGTGAATAAATATTGGTACTTAGTACTGCTATATATTCAAGGAAATCTGATATAGTTTTATCCTAGAAAAAACATTACAAAGATTTAACTAACTTCTGAACTGCCCTCTAGCTAAATGCAACGGTCTGTGCTACAAAATCTGATTTTGGAGTGATCTTCTCCAACATATAATAATTTCTATCAGACTGACCTAATTGTTCAGGGCAAAACTGTTCCCAGATCATGAGAGGAATCTGGTCTAATCTGCCCTGATCAGGCCACATATGGAATATCACATCCAGTTGTGGCATTGCAGTTCAAAAAGGATATCAAACTGGAGCAGGTTCAGTGGAGAGTGATCAAGATGGAGAACAGATAAAGGATCTTGTCATATTTAGCCTACAAATGGAGGGGAGATATGATACCAGCCTTCAAATATTTGAGGAGCTATCACATAGATAGAAGAAAGAATGGATTATTCTCCATTGCCTAATAGTACAGGACCAGAACCAATGGATTAAAGCCACAGGGAAGTAGATTCAGGCTAGATATGAGAAATAACTTTCTGACTGATGCCCTTTGGTAGAATAGGCTGCTACATGAAGTGGTGAGTTCTACCTCACTAAATAGTTGGTCAGCTGTCAGAGATGTCTAGTGGATCCTGTATCAGCAGGAACTAGATGACCAAGTTGTCCTATGACTCTAAAAAAATTCCATAAAAGCTCTCCTTATTCAACACCAGCACTTACCATACTAAAGACTAATGCAGTAACTGATGAAAAATGTCCTGGGCAACATCACTCTGTCCATTATTTTGTCTGGTTCTCTTGATTTATCATATTGGCCAAGCCTAGTTCTCAAGAAGTGAGTTTTGTAGGAACATCTACTGTGTTTTGCAGAATAAAAGATTTATACAAAGGAATGTACAGGCTTATGAATCATGGCACTATGTTATGCCAGCAAACAAAGGATAAAGGTGTCCTACAGGTACAGTAAATATTAAAGCCCCACTGAACATAGGATTGCAGCTTGCAGGACCAAGTCATATACCTGGGTTCTGAAATGATGAGGTAATGAAAGATAGGAATACCTTAATGAAAAACCAGCAGGTGAGAAGTCATCCCCAGTGCAACAGATACAGTTTTGGTCCCAATGATATCTATCACTTTTGTCAATCCCATTTACTACTGTAAACTGTGATTTATTTTTCTGATCTTGAAACTCTGGTCCAGGAGAGGTATTTGGTTTTGGTTCTTTGCTTGCTATAAGATGTTAAAATTAGGAATTTTTTGCAGGGAGACATTTTCATATTATTGCAAATAAGTATGAAACACTGTGACATGAGTAATATTTGAAATGGTCATCACAGTGCCAATGCTTACAAAAACTCTGGTAACAGGTCAGATTACATGAAATATTTATTTAATTTCACTTTTTTTATTTTTATGAATAATTTATAAAAAGTCATTTTGGATAGTGAGATGGGTGACATATAAATTTAATAAATAAATAAAATAACTCAAGACAGCAAACAGACCTAATACTCCTTTGTCCTCATATTTTTCCCACAACTCTGTGAGGTAAATTGGTAATGAGAGTGACTGGCACAAGGTCACTCAGCTGATTTTCATGTCTAAGGTGGGACCAGAACTCACAGTCTCCTGGTTTTTAGCTTAATGCCTTAATCACTAGACCCAACTGACTAGAATCACTAGATCTGAAATACACAATTCCAGATAAATAACAGATGACAACAAAAAGTTACCGGTATACTTTATCTCCTTACTGCCATCTAGTGATCCAGATTTTAGCAGCTTGGTTCTCATCGCTTAATTATTTCCAGCAGTAGCCATTCAATCATATAATTGTGCCTTAGAAAACCACTTTATTAACAAGTAAATTTATGGCTTTATTGCCTGTTCTGTACTTCAACTAGAGATCCTTCAATTTACAGTATAATTAGTCACAGAACTGAGGTTTTAATAAGAATAAATGGAAGTCTTATTCCTGGACTAACTCAGAAAAAGGCACAAATCAGCCACTGCTGTTTTTCCCTATATGTTTATCCAGAAAACCAGTGAATACAGTTCTTTATGAAAAATATTTACAGAGATATTTGCTTTTTTAAATATATTTTCTCAAAAAGTTCTTTGGACTTTTCCCTGAAATGCCTTTATTTAGTCCCAAATTATTTCTGTCCATATTTCCCAAACCAGAAAATCACGTCAGTTTTAATATCCATCTATGATCACTACTGGGGAGTAGACTGTTTTGAGGGAGTATTGCAATCGTTCAATGTCTGCACTTCTGTGCTTATTAAGTAAAAATTGAATGTCACTGAGTACACACGTAGAATTGTCTGCTAGTGGTTTCTGGAAAGAACTAGTTAAACTAGAAAGAGTTGGCTGCAGCCTGCTTTTGTGCCTAAGTAATGCTGGAACAAAGCCAGACAATAAAATACCTTTGCTATATTGATGATGTAATCAAAGGCTTTGCAACTAGTCCAAACTTTAATGATAAGCATCTTGTGGCAGTGTTGTGCATATTTGTGGCAGTGTTGTGCATATTTGTCTGTCTCTTATCTATCTGTCTGTCTGTCTGTCTGTCTGTCTGTCTGTCTGTCTATCTATCATTATCCAATTAATCATCTCACTTCAGCTCCCAAGAAATCCTTTGAACTAGTTTTTAGTTTTAGATCCAAAGAGGAAGAACAGATGCCTTAAGATATGCTACTTAGAAATGGTGGGGACAAATGATAAACTTAATATCAGAAATATTAACACAATTCATAAATGTTATTTTAAAATAAAATTTTATAGATATCTATTTTTCTTGTTGCATGAAACATTTTTATTGAAGCACTCCAGAAATAATACTGTGATGTTTATGATTGAAAATATGAGGAAGGTAGTATTTGCATATTGGTGCAGCTAAAAGTGAGGGCTACTGTAGACTTGGTCTGATCTATGCTGGATTCTTATAAGAATTGATAATGGTCCATTTCATGAAGTGCAACCATTTAGTAATGACAATACCTTCTATTCAATAACAAAATAATATTTCTGCCCATTTCCTAAAAAGAGACGCTCTCCTTAATGCAAATTCCAAAACCATAAGAAGTAGATATCATGAAAAATAAAATAAATATCTTCTACTAAAAAAAAGGGTTTGAGAAAGTGTTTCCAAAGACTGGAATTTGAATGAGCTATATATAAACAGTCAGCAAACTCTCTTATCCCTATTATTATCCCTACTATTGCTTTTCTTTGGGTTTTAAATTTGCACAAGCTGTTTGTGATTGTTTTTTGTTTTTTTTATTGAAAAT